AAATATATATATATTTTTTTTAATAATTGTTTTTTTGTACTAATTCCCAAGGAGTGTGAGGGTTTCTTCTTCTTTTAATGTTTACTACTATTCAGGTTTAAATACCCCTTGGGAATTTTTGATAATCTATAATGATTAGTTGATGGATTTATTGCTCTTTGAAAACTTTGGCTACTTTGGTGGGGGCCCCCACCATACTTTTTAAAATTTGTTTTAAGAAAATCCCTTATTTCAGTTATAAAATATAGCAAATTAAAATGCCGGACAGCACGAAAACCCCCAAATCACCCAAGGTGATCTCATTTTCTGGAAATGAAGAAACATGCTGGTATTGAGGGGGTTAAAAACATGCAGCTTGGTAATGGTGCACTAAATTAAATGTACAGGTCATACACAGAGGGAGGAGGGAAAGGGGTTAAAGTGACACTATACTGTGAAATCTTAAAAATGCATTTAAATACCTTATCTATTAACAAAATTGTAACTTATTTGTGTATTATTTGGCTGCAGATCCTCAAATCACCTCTGAATTGGTGCTGACACTGTCCTACCTTCCAAGCTTGCTCCCGTGATAGGCTACAACTTCAACACCAATTAATAAACTAAACGTGAGAATGTAGTCTATCACGGGAGCAAGCTTAGAGCAGTGGCTACTTTACAACACACACAGGGACAATGGGGAACCAAAGTAGCCCCCCTCCAGAAGGAAGTTTCAGTATGAATCAGAGATGATTTGAAAATCTTCAGCTGAGTGATACACAAATAAGATACATTGTTGTCAATAGTTAAGGTACTTGAATGCATTTTTAAGATTTCCTGAGTTTACTGTCATGTTAAATGTACAGGTCACATGCAGTGGGAGGATGGGGTTAATGTGCAGATGTGTAGGATAAGGGAGGTGAAGGGGTTTATATACAGAACACTGCAGGCTGGAGATTAGATATACAGGAGAGGGGTGGTGAAAGGGTTAAAAACAAACCCACAACACCTGCTGCTGCTGCTGTCGACACTGATCTTAAATTAATGAACAAATGATTAATTAATTCATTAGTTCCTCTTCTCTCCCCTTCCACCACTGTAAGAGAAAGGGGGAGGGCTTAGTACATACAGCACTGTGTACATTTGTGAACGCTGCGATTGGCCGCATGGATTGGCTTTGAACACAGTGTCTGGGAACGGAGCCGCCTGACAGTGATTTGTAAAATAACGTTTTGAAACGCGTTCCAAAAAAAAAGTCAGTGTACCACCTAGCCATTTTTTTTTTTTTTACAATGTAGTTGTAGGCAAGTGGTTTAAGCAAACCAGTCATGAGAGGAATATGGAGGCTGCCATTGCTAAACTCTGATAGATCCCTGTCTTATATTCTGATATCCTGACCCATTGGCTTCAGTACTTTTAAGTCACTAACCCAGAACATGTATGCAGATCAGGAGTTCTCATGTCACTCTGTTTTCACTTCTGCTAGGTCAGTAAGAAAGTATTGTAGGCAGAGGCAGTCAAGGAACTGCCATTCTTTGAAGGAAAGACATGGCAGCTTGGGCATGTTTATCCCTTCTAGGGTCAGACCCTGCCCGACAGGAGTGAGCAATGAGCTGACCAACTGCCTGCTTCAGGTATTTGCTTACTATGACACAGTGTTGATAGAGGTTGTTCTTATATACGAGTCGAAATACAATCACTGTGCTGCTCCAAAACACCTTATATATAGTGTACACATAACAATTAAAAAGGACAAATAGATTTACATTGACTTTTTAAGCTTAGATGACAGACTGTGTAATGAATATGTATACATGCAAGTTTACCAAGGAAGCACAATCTATCTATCTATCTATCTATCTATCTATCTATCTCTAAATGGAGGATCACCAACCTCTACAGCAACTACATTCCTTGTTTTTTGTTTTGATCAAAGAAATCACTTTATTACAGAAAATATGTAAAAATCACGATTTCCTAATGCTGTGCTGTAGACTGCATTGTATTATAAAAGGATGCATGGAGGTTTCTGTGATCTGTGGGATGTTCAAAGCTGATGATCTTTCATACATATTCTGATACATGCTATTATAACCATTGAACTAAAAAGGCTTTGTAACACCCCTCCTCTTCTTCCTTCATCTGACACTCATTGTGCACTGATAATATCTGAGATTAGCAACTTCCCAGCTGATCCTGCACCACTTGGCTCTTTTATACTCCGTGATAAAAAGAGATGAAAAAATAATTTTTGCAAGATCTAGAAGGTTAAAGCAGAACTATAGTAGATTTTGTACAATTTACAGTACTTGTCAGAGGAGAAGTTTCAATGCCAATGAGACACTTACTGCAGTGAGCTTCATTTTACCCATTACAGATTGTCCCCTTTAACATTGGGGCCAGCGCTGTGATTGCTCAACCTCTTCCCGATCTTCAGCCCTGCCCCAATGAACCATGTACATGTGCGCAGGGTAGAAGAGACATTCACACTTTGTAAATGTTACTGTTAGGCAAATACACAAACTATGATGCACATACAAGTGGACTTAGTGCAGGACATGATCTGAATGCCATAGCAGGGACTATATGTCACTTGTGCATACAGAACTACTTATCCTGACATCTGAAAAATGCATTGCATGCAGGATATCTGAAGCACCACCTGAACTAATACACCCCTAATACGCAGACCACAGTCCATGTGATGCCTTCCACAGCCTCACAAACACTTGTCACGGCCAAATTCCAACTCGTTTGGACAGGCAAAGCTTCAATAAAGCTTGCTCATCCTTTCCAGCCTTATGCACAGCAAGCCAGCCCACCATCGTTTTATGGGCAAGAAGGAGAGGCAGGGCTTAGCAGCAAGTTTTAATGCTACTTAGAATTGTTGGAGCTCTGCATGTCAGAATGGCCTTGCATTCACCATAATGGGTGTATTTTAGAGGCTACCTCAGGTATGTGCAGACACTTCTACAGGCCCACACTTTATGTAGGATCTATTTATTGACATTAGAAATTATGTTAAAACTCACATTGTAATGCATTACTAAAATGTTTGGTTGCTTCATAAAAATCCAGTGGCACAGCAGTAGTCTTAACATGTCACTTAAAAGGTAAATGTATTATACCCTATGATAGGGCAACAGGGTGCTTGTTGGCTTTATACTGTCCAGGATCTATTCAATAAATGTTATTAGCAGTTGTTACAAAATAAAATCCCCATTGCTAAATGTTATAAGATGGCCATGCCATGACACATAAACTTCCTTCAATATCCATGTCATACAGCCAGAAAATGTCTTGTATGCTTTTTAAAGAAAACAACGCATTCTATGATTGCACACAGGATGTGTGAACGCCACAATCTCCTCTTGTCCAATCACAAAATGCCTTGTATTTTTTGAAAACAATACAAGCTCTTTTTTGAATGAATGAGCTGCACAAAGAGCAGCACACTGTGATCACTGTACTCCAGCCCTGACTTTCAGTGTCACTGCCAGAACTTCAACAGTGGCATCACTGTTAGTTAAATGTAAGTAACATTTTTGCACGAAAGGATCAGCAGCCACCAGTGGAGTCCAGCCTGAACCATAACACACAACCACTGGCATTCTGTGGATACTTTGATAAGGTATTCACATCTATGCATTTTAAGTGGGTATAGCGTGTGGGAAAAATCATGCTTGTTGCATCTTTGGTGCAGTTCCCAGTGAAAAATATGTTACATAGAATAAATGGTAATGCATGAAAGCATATCATGTCTACTACACATGAAAACCAAGTAGTGTGAATGCAGCCTATGTCTTAACCCCATGTTTCGTATTATATGGTACCGCTTTTTTAAAGAAACACATTTCTCAGCATTTACCACAAGATAACATGCTGATGCCAATCCTCATTCACTAATAAACATAACTGAGGAGCATTGTGCATGTTTAATTAACCTCCAGTAACCAGAGATCTATTTAATTTAACTCCAGCCTTGAATGTAGCTGGTAGAAGGCTAAAAGTTCCCATTTTATTAGTACATATGAAAAGCATAAAATAGCCAATATTCAAGGTTAACTCTCAAACTGAATTAGTATCCAGACTAGATTTTGGAAGGACAAACCAACAATTGTAGCTTTTTATTGTATTGGTTAGATAGATTTTAGATACATAAGTGATAGCACCACTCAAATCTAAAAGTTCAGTCTAGGTCTCCAGCTCTGGATGTGTAACTGCACCTTTTATACTCCTGATATAGTTGTGCCCAGAGCCCCTGCCAGTGTTATATTCATTTATTACAGACCCAGCAAGATACCACAATTGAGACCAAACACCAGTGTGTCAAAATCTTCCTGGCTGAGCCTGTGCAGTACTCCAGACTAACTCTCCATATGGATACATTAGAGTGCAGAACGCAAGCATGGGTCCGGCTGAGAAGATTTTGACAAGCCACTGCATGGTCTGATCAGCAATATCTTGCTAGAAAAGGGACATGTGAATACAAGGCTGACAGTCAGGGCTGGGTGTGCCTACAATAGAAGTGTAATCCCTTGGAGACTCCAGCAGCAAGATCGTTCCTGTTGAAGCAAATACAAATTAGTCTTATTCACAACACTGAATTATCCATTTATTTAACATTATGGAAAATGCAACTGAAACAGACAGGTTCTCTTGCTTGGCTTTGAAATGATTGTGCTATTCCACCCACTAACACCAGCATTGGAGTACTATTCTTCTCACTGACACCTCTGATGTGGCACTATGCCATCTACTGACAACAATGGAGCACTATTGCTCTCGCTGACACTAACAATGGGGCACTATTCTTCCCATTGACACAAACAATGGAGCAGTATTTCTCCCACTGACAATCACAGCGCACTGATTCTCCCACTAACACTAATGATAGAGCACTATTCCTTCCCCGGATACCAACTGATGGATCGTTATTGCTCCCACAATAGGGCATGGGGCACTATTCTGTCCTGACACAAGGATGGAGCACTATTTTTCCCACTGACACCAACAGAGGGGCATAGTTCCTCCTAGTCACACCAATAATGGGGCACGGTTCCTCCCACTGACACCAATGATGGGGCATTATTCCTTTCACTAACACAGGGACAACAATTTGACATTATTCTTCTTCCAACTGAGCACAGATGCCACGTCATTTCTGCTCCCACTGACCACCAACCCTGGGTTATTTTTTACTCCCACTCACGATCAAGCCAGGGGGATGGTTTACTCCAACTGTTTACTGACACCTAGGTGTTTCCACTACCACTGACCACAGTCTGGCCCCCCTAAACCTTGTTTAGAAAGTTTGAGGTCATTGAGAGATGGAATAATACATGAACAGAAGAAAACCTACCAGCATCTACCAATGAATCAGTATTTGTTTTTCCAGATGTATTTCTTTAAAGCCCACCTATAAACTCCCCAGCTACTAGCATATAGTATATTAAAATTCAACACATTGTAATTGTTCATCACTGTCTAGTTTAACCACCATACTACATTGGCCCTGAAGGCTAATTGAAGGCAAAGTTTGCCTAAAAGGGCATTCCCAGTGCTTGGTTGGTATTGACATTTACATGTGAACCACTGCTTCTACAGACAACCTACAGAATTGATTTACCAAGAATCTAAAGCAATATACAATTTTCACAATGTAATCAAGTGATATTATTTTTGTTTTGAACCACAACATATATGCTGTAATTTGGCATCATTTTACGTGTACAGGCATGTGAAAAAGTAAGTACACCCAATGCAAATTGTCGACTTTTTCAACATATTTAAACATGTAAACTTTAGATTGTCATTCAAACAGTGCCTGTGCCTGCATATAAAGGTTACATACTTGAATAAAAACACAAGAAAAAAATAGCCTTTTCAATAAATTTATTTAACAAAAATATCACGTGATGGAATGGTGTACTGTGGCAAAAGTACATACACCCTTGGCCTCAGAAGCTGGTATTGCCCTCTTTAGCATAAATTACTTATTGGAAGGAAGCATTTCGCACAAATAGCTACCGGTGTTTGTTATTAACATTGTAAACATTTTGATCACTCACTCCCCCATGTAAAATTCCTTTAGATACCCGATGCTTCTGGGTTTCTATGCATGAACTGCCACTTTCAAATACCCCCACAACATTTCAGTGGCAATCAAATCAGGTCCATATACCTTCATTTCGTTTTAAGCCATCCCCTTGTGGATTTGTTTCTGTGGTTCAAATTATTCTCATATTCAAAGATCTATTTCCAGCTTAACTTCATCTTTTGGACAGATGGCCTCACCTTCTAATAAATTACACTTTGATATGATGCAGAATTTGTAGCCGATTTGATGACTGCTAGCTGAACAGGCTCTGAAACTGCAAAGCAACCCCAGACAATAACATTTCCACCACCATGCTTCACAGTTGATATGAGGGTCTTCTCCTAGAGCCAAACATGTCTACTGTAGCTATGGCCAAACAACTGTTTTTGATTCATTTGTCTTTAGCACAAGGTTCCAGAAGGCCAGATCTGTACCTATATGTTCAATGGCAAACTGTAGTCTTGCTGGTATGTTCTTTTTGGAAAGCAAATGTTTTTTCCTGGCACACTTTCCATGCAGGTTAAATTGGTGTAATCTCTTTCCGATTGTAGAGGCAACACCAACTGTTCGAAGTGTTCAAAAACTGTAGAACCAGCACACGATGATCTTCCAAAGAAATTCAAACTTTATTCCACATGCATCTATACAAAGAACAACTGATGACGCGGGCCAAGACTAAAGCCAAGTAAAACAGAAATGCATCAGCGGTTGTTCTTTGTATAGATGCATGTGGAATAAAGTTTGAATTTCTTTGGAAGACCATCGTGTGCTGGTTCTACAGTTTTTGAGCCCATCACTCCAGAAGAGAGTCATCCATGCACTGAGTGTGGATTGCGGGGACGCCTTGATAGGGGTGAGCTCTGGGCTGTGTGTTCTTAGTTTACATCTTCTAAGTGTTACTTGTAGATCCCACAATTACATTTGCAGAAATATGGAGACTTCCTCTACCTAATGATCAACTCCAGTCCTGGACAAATTGGTTGATTGATTGAATGATTGATTTCAAATAATTTGGCAATCTTTTTAAATCCCTTGCCAAAAGCATGGGCCTTAGATACTTTTCATGATAATACTATACAATTCAATAGCAGAAAGAAGACCAGACCATAGATAGCTCGACAGTCGGCTCTACAAGTTTAAACAGACTCCCGGCGGCAAAAGTCGCCGGGAGTCTGTTTAAACAGCCCCGATGCTGGCGACGTACACTGTACGTCGTCAGTCACGAAGGGGTTAAATAAGGCAGGTTCCAAGTGCAAACTCCCTAAGGAGGTTCTACACAGTGGCACCTGATTGTAACTTTCATGGATTTGAATTGGTGGTAAATGTAGGAGTGTACTTTTTTACATGTGACACATCTGCATTTTTTATTAATTTAGAATATGAGAATGAATACACCATGTCAATTTTATGTGTCATTTGTTCAAGAATATCACCTTTATATGTATGCACTGTTTGACTGAAGATCTAATGTTTGCCGTTTCAAATATGCTGAAAAAGTCAACAATTTGCAGGTGTACTTACTTTTTCACATTTCTTTTACATTATCATTTTAGTAATTAGAATTGTTAATATAGTAAGGACACACTATAACATATACATGTATAACACATGTCACTTTTATGCCATCCTAACGAATGTGAACAATAACATGTAAATATATCGGTTTATATCAAACAAATAATATAAATATAAAGAGTCTTAGGTTGAGATTTCAGAGGTACACTTGTTAAATATATTGCTATAATCCAATCTGAAAAAAACAATCTTACAACAATTTCATTTTTGTTAGAACAGCATTTAAAGCACCAAATTCTTTTACTGAATAAGAAAAATGAAACTTGTTTACCTAAAATTAAGCCCACCATTGTACTTAAATATCCAGTTCCACTTCCGAGATTTAGAAAAGATAATCCTGGTTGAAGCTTTAGTGCCTCCATGACTTCTGAATAAATGCAAGGTGCAGAGAGGTGTATGTTCCCATGCTTCCATGCCAAGTCTTTATATGCATTGTCCCTGTAACCTTCCAGGTAATATTCCCCTCGGTCAATTGCTCTGAAGGCTTGTTCTACTTTTTCAGTACGTATATACTGTGCCTCTTTTAGATTATCAATTAAGTCATCATTGTCTTCCCCAGCGCTCACTGCTCCTCCCATGTTAGGTCGAGAGTTTTACACGAATTTGTTACATTCGACAAAAGCAAAATAAAGTATCAATGGGATCACCAATTTCACTCAGCTGACCTTTAGCAGGTTAGCACTACGCCTGCAGTAAATGCACCCTGTGGAAATAAAAAAAAATGCAAAGGATTTGAGTTTCTCACATACAAAACAGCACAAAAGCAAACATCAACATGGTAGGTGGTATAAGGCATTTCAAGGAAACCATTTGTGCTTTCCTGATCCCCTCCACACAGCAAAATCTCCTACTGAAGCATCCACAAATGTATAATTCATGGGTACCACGTGGCTTCATAAAATATAATGGCTCAAGAAGGGAACCATTTTATTCAGTGGTCACATTTAGGAGGCCCTGGTGTTTAGAACAGGGCTGGAAGGGGTAACAATGTTACTATAAAGAAAGTATTTCCATTTGAATAAATCTTCATTCACAAATGTCAAACAACTTTTCTTTCACACATACAGTACGTTACATACTGTGTATTTAATTCCTTCAGTGTAGGAAGAAATTCATACATTTGAGAACAAAAATAACAGTTTTCAACTTTAAAGATTAAATAGAGAATATATTTTGAGACTTAAATTACAAATAAAGCCAAGACTTTTTTATGTTTTGGATAAAGTGGAGGATTAGAACACCTGTCAGGTTTGTATTGTTGTCTGTACCCCCGTTAGGGACATTCACACTCTCTATTTGTCCTGGTGAGTGTTATCACTGAATGTGAAAGAAAATCCCACGTTATGAGTTGTCATCAGAGCAGGAATAGATAGGAAATCTTCCAATGGTAAAACTAGTCCTGGTGACCCTTCTGTCCACCAAGGATTTTTCTCTATTTGAAGGGATTTCAATTTCACTTCCTATTGTGGCTATCAGACAGGAAGTGAATGGGAAATGTCTCCAATGTGACGCAGATGACAAAAAAAAACGCTTACTGGGGTTATAACCCTCTCTTACGCTACTATCCAAAACAAACAAAAAAGAAACGAAAAAACAAACATTAGTTTCAGTTGTAATTAAATAAACTCATAGACATACCACGGACTGGAATAACTGTTTTAATGCAATTAGAAAAATTATGTACATCATTTTTAGAGATGGGTGAAACAATTTAAAAAAATCTGTTTGGTGAAGATTCTCACACTTTGCTAGGCTTCAATCTGGCAGTCCGCTGGAATTTTTACAGCATCTTTTAACATTTTACTTTTGTTACATTATTTTTAAAATCTGCTCCTTTCATCTAAACAATAGTAGCCTAGTAGAGTTGTCATATGGATTTGGTATCCCTGCAGCATGAAGGTCCATATGCCAATCCCCTTCGAATGGATAGATTTAGGTAGAAGTTTCAAACACTGGAATCCATTTTAAATCATCATCTCCCAGCTGACAAGTACATGGTGTACCATAATGATGGTCTAGGGAGGTTTTATGTGCCACTTGCCTGCACCTGGTGGGCTGTTAATTGCCCCCTGCCTAGTAAGGTGGTAAAGAGATCCATTACTGAAAACAGCGCTTGGGTACTATCTATTTAGCAAGGTTTGGCCCTGGATGAATCGCTAAGAGCCTTTGTGCAGTGTGGACTGTCAATGCGTACTTGCCAAAAAGTCATATTGCATGTTTAAAATGTTATAAGAGAGTTTAAGCCATGACGTACCACGTGTAGCAGTACTTTGGATTAACAGCCATGTAAATATATAGTTGTAATGAAACAATCTGTGGGATCTGGGTGTTAACTAGGGATGAGACGAGTGTTCGATTCGAACATGAGTTCGAATCGAACATCGGCAGTTCGAGCGCTTGCCGAACTTTATGGGATGTCCGCGGTTTGTTCGACTGCGGACATTCCTTGTCAGGTGCAAGACTTTGCCCAATCAGGGCTCAGCAGAGGAGTGGCCTGAAGGAGAAAGTTCTCTATCAGGTCCCCCCATGCTGATTGACAGCAGGCAGTGGGCGGGTGCAATAGCCAGCTTGCTATTGGCTATTGCATTTTACAATATCCAATAGCAGGCTGGGTATGGTTCCCAGCCTGCAATGAAGAGGAGGCGGGGGGCGGTGCAGAGAAGCCGCGGCCGGACCGGAGAAGAAGCCGACAGACCAGGGGACCGGAGGCTGGGACAGCAGCAGAGGTACGGGGGGCAGCGAAGGCATGCAGCAGTCTGTGTCCCCGCCAACACAGGCACGGAGAGCAGCGGGGATTTGAAGGGACCCAGGCCGCTGCAGCCACAGTTCTCCTAAACGTACCAGCAGCTGCAGGTACATTTAGGAGAACTGTGGACCCGGTTCGTAAGTACGGATTGTCCGTAACCCGGAGACTGCCTGTATAAGCCCTCTTAAAGGAGACATTAATTTTAGAACGTTCGACCCCCATTCACTTGCATTGAGTTCAACTTCGTATTCGAACTTTTCGGCCGTTCGAATACGAACCGAACACGGGGGTGTTCGGCTCATCACAAGTGTTAACCTAGGATTGCTGAGTTGCTCTGCTGTAGAACTCGATCACTCAAACTGCTAAAAGGTTTCTTTAGATCCATTACTTGTTAGTGTCGTTTAAAAGGGATTGGAGAAATGTGCCAATAAAAAAATGCCTCTGATATTATGATAGCTAACACCTTTACTACTTCATTTCTAGCTGATGGTCCACAGTAAATAATCCAGACAGCAGGGGTTAGGTATTTTAACTCACCACCTATGTGAATCCTAGTGTCTGCCATGTCTGGCCTTCGCTCCCTTTAGAGAGCAATTCCAATCAACTGATAAAAACAATCAATGAGCTATAAATGCTGACCAACAACCACTGTAACTGTGATAGACAGAAGTCCTCGTCAATTTGCCTTAAAGGAGAACTATGAGGCAAGTAATTTCCACTCACCCTCATGGTTAGAGCCGACCTGTGACAAAGAAGCTGTCACAGGTCAGCTCTATTGATCGGGAAGTGAGCAGAAACATGCAGCCGATCCGCTCACTTCCTGATCATCTCCCTGCAGTCACCGCTCCCTGCAGGGATTCCCCTCACCCGTCTCCAATCATCCAGCTCTAAGTGGAGGAATGAACAGAGGAGGGGGCGGGCACAGCTGGCTCTGCCTCTACATAGGCAGAGCCAACTGTCACTCACACAGCTGGGTGGATCTCGACAGTATTGTTGGGATCCGTCCTGGCTGCGGTGCTCTCAGTATATGCCGGGCTATTGCCCGGCATATACTGAGTTTTGGGTCACAGGAGGAGGTTAGTGCATGTCCTCCAGTGAACCTAAAGAGAACTATGGGGAAAAAACACTTACAATATAGTTCTCTTTTAACTTACGTTCTCTGAAATCCCCACAACCAGCCCTCATGCAGCTTACTGGGTGTGTGTTTTCTGAAGTCTGCACTGTGCATCTTCCTCTCGCTCTGCTTTTCCTACCAGTAATCACATCTAACAAAAGCAGGTTTCAATTGGAGAAAATTGCGTATTCATAAAAAAAATGTATCCTATCAGGCATTATGCATGAGACATTAAGTAGCCCACAGCAGGCGTGTTTAGGAATAACTCTTCTGCATCCCCAGCAGGGGTTTTCAGATCACCAGATTACAGATAACTGGAGTGGGGTGTACTGGTGCATTACAGAAATGCCTGGATGAAAAAGTGGAGTACTGAGCAGGTAAGCTGTGAGTGGAGGGTACCTTTAAAAGTCTTGGATTCAGGCTCTTTCAGGAGGGGCACATTCCCACCATGCTTTTCCAGTAGTATAAAATGAAATAATGAACAATTGGACATATAAGTGCCACGAAAGATAGGACGAGGAAGCATTGTGCCTTCACATGTACTTTAAAATGTGAGAACTGGTATTTTGACACCGTTATATTAGTTTGTTTTTTTTGTGCTGACTAGCTGAAAACTGTTTAAAGCATATTTCCACTTTTGTAGTTACATTTAGATAACACCTACTTTATATTTGTTACATGATTTTTTGTGCTTACTCGAGGACTGAAAAATCCTGCTTAGTTCTCACTATCTGGGGGTTAGGGAGCTTTGGTTCAAGTAATTAACCCTGTCTGTACTGTGCTGGCAGATTTTATTATCACTTGTAAACCAAATAAGCGGGACTGTCTGCCCTAACAAAAGGATAAAGCGAGACAAAACTCAGGAGTTAAATCTTAGAAATGCATTCAAGTACCTTAAAGGATAAGTTCACATTTTGCAGGGATTTAAGAAATGCATAATTATTAATATATAAAAAATGTTTGCATTCAAGCCTGGAAAGCATTGCAATTGTAATCTCTCGATCACAGCTGCAAAGGTCAGGCTTCTTCACTTTCTCTCCCAGGCAGAGCTCCGTACGGAGGTAGAGTTTCAGTTAGGAGAGATAGGGAAGGATGGCTGGACTTCAAACTGCATTAAATCACCTCATACAGCGTCCAGCCGTCCTCACTCTAGGTAGATGCTGGAATATGGGCAGCTCTATCTAGAGCGAGGGCAGCTGGACGCTGTATGAGGTGATTTAATGCAGTTTGAAGTCCAGCCGTCCTTCCCCCATCTCTCCTAACTGAAACTTCGGACCTCAGTACGGAGCTCTGCCTGGGAGAGAATGTGCAGACGCCTGACCTTTGCAGTTGTGATCGAGTGATTACAATGCTTTCCAGGCTTGAATACAAATATTAAAGAAATGCTTATATTTTATATACCATATTTGCCGGCGTATAAGACGGGTTTTGAGACCTTAAAACATCCCCCGAAAATCGTGGGTCGTCTTATACGCCGGGTACATACGGAAGGATACGGTATACTGTATGTAGCTTCGGCTACATACAGTATACCGCGCTGAGCCAATCAAGGCCGGCTTTGTATTAATGAATACAAAGCCTGTATTCATTAATACAAAGCCGGCTGTGATTGACTCAGCGGAAGACAAAGGACACAGCTGGGATCGTGGACAAGGTAAGAGACTGTAATCCCGAGTGTGGCTCGGGGTTACTACTTATGGTACTGAAAATTACCCCCGAGCCACACTCGGGAATACCGCCATGGATGTTAGTGGGTGCATTTAAACATTATTTTGGGCTATACTCGTCTTATACAACGAGTA